TAGTGATCACTCTGGCTGTGAACTGCATCTCCAAGGAGGAATGCACGTCTTGGGACAGCCAAGGTGACACAGTAAGCTGGGGCGGGGCAGGAGAACTGGGACCAGACCCGGGGGTCTGCTCTCCCAAGCCCATGCTCTCCAGCTGTGGCTCTGCAGAAATATATGTGTTTTTGTTTTTATTGAGTTGAATGTCTGAATGAACTCCAATTCATTTGCAAAAACTGCCAAGAAAAATGTTGAGTTTTTTTTTTAAATATCCAGAATTAAAAATGTGTGTTGCAGAGAATAACACCCTTTTAAGAACATATTATTAAACAAGATCACGGGAAGGCCTTTAAGGTATTAATGAGTGAAGTTCACAGGAAGCAAACCATCACATATGATATAGTTACATTTTACATTTTATGTCTTTGGAACTCAGCTATAATTGAAGCCACTGATTGCACTTATAAGTAAATATTCTTTCTGACATTGCCCTCAGTGTGTTTTCTGAGATAGGTGTATTTGTTACACTCTACTATTTTTGTTGATTGTAGTAAAGATTCTATTATAATAAAATTTAGTATTCAAATTTCTGTATATAAAATGAAAGTTTAGTATTTGTTATATAATTATAATGAAACCAAACAAAACAAACCAACACTGAAAGGATAGGAATCCACAATTTTACTTTCTTATTGTTCTAGCCTGTTAGGAAATCTGTTGTTTATAAATTGTGGTTTCTGAAATAATCCTCCTCTTTTTGCTACCACTCTGAAGTCAGTGTTAATCTTTTAGCATCAGCTGTCATCCTTCCCATCAAAGTCACCGCTGGTAGTTATAAAGCAATTTCAGTTCTATCCATTAGCCAAGAAAAGAGACACTTATTCATTAAATACTTAGAAATTCTCAGAAAAAGACAGAAATGGGTAGCATTGAGAGTGGGTGGGTATTGGAATCTGTGCTATGAGTAAAGAAATTTGAAGTTAGAAGCATGTGTTAGAGAAATCTATGGAGGATAATGAAAAACATTAAAAATAGAACTACCAATGGAAGCAATCCCACTTCTGGGTATTTATCCAAAATCATCGAAATCAAGACCTCAGCGAGATATTTGCTTTCCTATGTTCATTGCATCAGTACTCACAATAGCCAAGGTATAGAAATAACCTAAATGTCCATTGCTGAAAGAGTGGAAAGAAGCCAGATGTGGTGGCTCATGCCTGTCATTCTGGAACTTTAGGAGGTCAAGGTGGGTGAATCACCTGAGGTGAGGAGTTCGAGACTAGCCTGGCCAACATGGTAAAACCTCATCTCTACTAAAAATACAAAAATTAGCTGGATGTGGTGGTGTGCACTTGTAGTTCCAGCTACTCGGGAGGCTGAGGCAGGAGAATTGCTTGAAGCCAGGAGGCAGAAGTTTCTGTGAGTCAAGATCGTACCACTACACTCCAGCCTGGGTGACAGAGTGAGCCTCTGTCTTTCTCTCTCTCTCTCTCCCTCTCTCTCCCTCTCTCTCCCTCTCCTTCTCTCTCTCTCTCTCTCTCTCTCTCTCTCTCTCTCACACACACACACACACACAAAGATTGGTAAAAGAAAATGCGGTATATGCATACAATAGAATATTATTCAACCTGAACAAAAAAGGAAACCATGAAATATGCAGCAGAATGGATGAACCTGGATGACACTGTGTTTAGTGAAATAAGCCAGTTACAGAAGGACGAATGTGGCATGAGGCATCTAAAACAGTCATACTCACAGAAGCGAGAGTAGAAAGGTGGTTGCCAGGGGTTGGGAGTGGGGGGAAATGGATGAGTTGCTATTCAACGGGCATAAAGTTGCAGTTAGGTAAGATGAGTAAGTTCTATAGATCTGCTGTACAACACTGTACCTGTAGATAACAGTACTGTATTGCACACTTAGACATCTATTAAGTGGGCAGATCTCATGTTAAGTGTTCTTACCATAATTTTTTTAAAAGGAGTGCTATGGAGGACCCAAAATACATCAGGCACTGCTTGTCTGTAAGCCACTGGAGAATGCCATTGGCCTGTTTTCTGTCTTTAATCCCAGCAGTAATCCCTCTATTGTAGATGTCATTTACAAGGAAAAATGTGAACCCTAGAGAGATTAAGTATTTTGCCCCAAATTATGCAACTGGAAGTATTAGACTTCATATATGAGCTAATGATGAGGTCATCTTTGGGTGTGAAGGATAGTGAGATCCTCCATCCTTGGGGAATGGTTAACCATCTACATCTTCTGTCCCATCTTCCAAAGCCAGAAAGAAGCCACGGGTTAGGGATTCTCCGGTCAAAGCCTGACTCCACTGAAAAAGAAGAAGATTCAGATCAGTCTATGCTGGGTAAAGTGACTCCAGAAATATGCTGCAACTTATGAATTAGAGGGAGCACACACCAACGGGCCAGGCATCCAGGAGTGACAAGACACTGTCCAGGCAGAAGGTCAGCTTTCCCTTACATGGATAGGTGTGAATCAGACTCCAGCAATCCAGGCAGCTGTAACAGGAAGGCAAGTCTTCCTCCAATTCTGAAATAATTAGTAGTCACCATTAGGAGTGTCGAGGTCAGTTAGTGTGTTCCTGTCTTCTAGATTTATCTACAGGGATCAGAAACATAGCCCTGACTGAATGGACCTCTGTCAACATTGTAAAGTCCTCTCTCATTCCTTGTCTAAATAAGCCTAATTCTTAGAGATCCCATAGTTATCATAAAGCTTATCTTTTCTAACAGGCAAGAAGAATATCACAATGCTAATTGCCTCTTTTTTTAAAAAAAGTTCTGATTTTGAAACCTGATAAACCTCTCAAGTAATGATTGGGTCGTGTTTACCTAATTCTTATGCATCGGTGAGTGTCTAAAAGAAATCATTATTAAACCTAGCTTGCTGACTGCTTTCACTAAGTGTTAAATAATAAATAATGCATTTCTACTTCAATTAATCTACTTAGACATCTCACAGGCCAAATGCCTTGGTGGAGATGTTCTAATCTGCAGAATCAATCCCCGGTATGACTCTGCCTCTTGACATTTGGAGCTCCCTAACACAGAGCTCTTAATTCCATATACAAGGTAAATGGATAATTTAGATGACCGTGTTCTGCCATTGTGCTCAGACTGATAAATAAGACAAGGCACTGTAATGACAACTTGCAGATCTACTCAAGGCAAAATTTGGAATGAATCTTCACTCCCACCCATATGAGAAATTTTTTCTCAATTTCATATGCTTGTATGTTTTTCACCTTAATATGAAGATCTGCGTGTGTGTCTAAGACTTTTGCAGAACTGCTATGTATACTGTTTCCTTACTATGGGGTTTATTAAATGATCCAAATTCTAGTCTTATTAGAACTGCTTAAAAATTATTAGCAGAAAGTCTGAGTATTCAAGATAACAAAAAAGTGTTTATGTAATATTATTATTTTGATATTTCCTTCTGATTCTTGTCTATGTAAATAAATATTTTATACAGTTGAAACCATAGTATACATGCCATTTTCTAACCCTTTTAAATAATCATTATGTTGAAAGCATTTCCATGTGGCAAGAGCTTTAATAGTTATAAATGTTAATATTAAGAATAATAAGAATAATACCATGACTCATCTGAAATGTACAGTGATTTTACACTCTTATTAATTTTGGAAGTTTCATTTGCTTCTCTATTTTTGTTATTAATTTCATAAATAGCACTGATGTGAACATCTCCATGCCTAGAGGTTTCCTTTTCTCCTTTCCTTTGAGGTCAAGGGTCTAAAGACATATAGTACAATTGCCACATGTAAATATATAGATTCACTAGATGCTTCCCAGGATTAGACATGATCACTGTGCAAAATATGTGGTAACACAATAAACAGAAAGTTACTGTTTTTTAAAATGCATACTTTCAATTAATAGTGAGATTGAGATTTTTCCATTTCTGTGTTCACTAATTCTGTTACCTTCTGCTTCTGCATATCATTAGGCTATCTATCTGTTGGCATCACTGCTTTATCATTTTAGGATATTTCATCAATATTTTGCAGGATTTGTAATCACATATAAGAGGAATGGAGGATTAAAGGCAATCAATCGGAAGTATGGGTAATTGGTGTACATTTCATATTCTGCTAATCTCAAGGAGTTAAAAACATACATCCTTTTAAGAACAGGAGCTAGAAAGTCCCCTGGAGGCACTGTCTTTCTTCATTTGTTCCATACTTTGCATAGCATACTTCCTGGAGGGCCCTTCGTAAATTGTTGTGCAGTTGACTCAGATACCTTTTTCCACGTTATCTCTGCTCACTCAGAGTACCCACCCTCGTCAAATATCACACCCTTTGTCATACTTGAGAACTTCACCCATCACTTCTTGGTAGAGATTTTAGGCCCTTGTTTGTGCTGTGTCTTGTTCTGCCTACACCTCTGTTGTGGCTCCCTTCACCTTGTAATGATTTATTTATGCTTCAGTCTGTGCAACGGGCTGTGAGCCACGGGGGGTGGGGGCGCTGTGCATTTTCATCTCCGTGTCCTCAGTATAAGAATGGTGCCAGGAAAAGACTGAGTCCTCCATAAATGCATGGAGGACTCAACCCAGGCTTGCAGGTACTCAGTAAATGCTTGTGGGTGACAAATGAATGGAATTAAATTGAGGGATTAATTTTTATATCAGTATGCTATACTGATATGTAATTCATGTATTAAAAGCACAATTTTTATGGTAATAGTTAATATGATTATGTAAATTATATAATTAAGTATAATATATAATTATATAATGCAATTTATAATTCATATCAATATATAAAATATCAAAATGATATATTGATATGTATTCAATATATTAAAAGCTCATTTTTATATTAATATTTGCTCTAATTAATTATATAAATTATATAATTATATATACTTATATAAATATAATATGTAATATATAACATAAATTATAATAATTATTACATAATTATTAATTATATAAATTATATAAGTCCTATCACAGTATCTTCTTCCTAGGGTCTAAATCAACCTCTGGTAATGAAGGGCCTGGAGCCAGATATGAGCTTCTTGGAGCTTTTGGCAGTTTCTGGTGGAGGTCAGCTATCCTTGTCATCTACCTTGGCCTCTCTGTAGGGGATGAGCTCAGGGCTACACTTTTCCTTCCAGGTTCTCATGGTGTGGTCCGGGCTCCATTTCTTTCTCTTTGAACCTCACTTCAACATGATTAGAGTGACCGAAGGTAAAGAAATAGGAACTGTTTTACTGTAAATAAGTTAGTCCCTGCTATACTTTTTCTCTGTGTTGTTTCATCACATGTACTCTCCTCAAAGGTCTTGTTCAGCCCTTCACACCCCTGTGAGTTGCATTAAGCAATGTCACTGTGCTGCAAAATGCTTAGAAATATGTGTGTGCATTACACAGAACTGTCCAGCCTTCAGAAGGAAAGGACTGAACATCTTTGTGCATCTCCCCGTGGGAAGACAAAGATAGAAACTCAAATGGGCTCATTCTTTGCCTCCATAAATATGTTTATCAGACCCAATTAGACAGGAGAGAGAATAGAGTCCAGCGTGTTGGTGGAAAAGCTGAGAATAATCCATGAGGTTTTTGAAGCCTGAGGTTTTCCATTTTGTTGTTTAGAGAAAACTAGATTGGATGCTTTGAAAGAAATTAAGATATTCTTGTTTACACTTTTCTTTGATATCATGATTATTGGTAGAAAAATTGTTCTTGGACAAAGTATTTTTTAACAGGCAATCAAAAAATTTCCCAGTGGGGCCTTTACTTAAGTGAAGGAGATTTGAAGAGCAAAAACATAGCTATAACTGATTTTCAAAATTATATAACTACAGCATTTAGAACCATTCAGCCTTCTGAAGTGCTTACCGTCGTGATCTAAGGGCATGACTCTGACTCTGAGAGGGAGGTAAATAACAAAGCCAGTGTTGTCCTGGCCAGGAAGCCGTAGAGGTAAGCCACTTTGTCTTTACATCTAAGCACCCTGCCCTGCACCCAGTTCAGTCAGTAGTGATGTCAAGTCTTGCCCCAGTTTATCTCCCAGGGATATTAGAATAAACACATTTAGAAACTAAAGATGCCATGTAAACACAGTAAATTTATCCCATTTTTGTTTAACATCTTAAGGGCTAGAATTTCCAGCTGTCTCTTCACACAAACTTCTTGCTGAGAGAGGGGGCGAGGTTACTTGAATTTGAAGATGTTGATTTTTGCCCCAAATATAGCTTTTTTGAACTACAGATTCTTACTAATACAGGGTAAGTACACCTCATTGAGCGGGTGACTTTTACAGCAGGAGGGCTCCAGTTTCACCTGAGAAGCGACACATGGATTGTGTGTCCTGACACAGCAGTGAGAAGTCCTCTGTTCTGTGCATTCTGTGACTCCACACTAAGGCACCATCACTGACAGGTAAAAGTGCTGCTGCTTATCGTGGCAATGGATAGTCACACTGTAGAATTTTTTTTAATGCAAGTTAAGTTTGCAAAGTAAACACCCCTTTTCAAAAATTAGAACTTAGATCGAAACTCATTTATGAAAGAATCACATGGCTGTGTCAACAGCTTAGAAAAAGTTCACTTTTTTTTTTTTTTTTTTTAAACTTTTCCTGTTACCCAGATAGGCAAAAATAAATTCTGGATCATCCACTGAAGTTTCCAAATGGTCCCCCTGAACCAGGGTTTCTAAATAGCAGCACTATCCGCGTTTTGCTTCTGATCATTCTTTATTGTTAGGGCTGTTCTGTGCACTGTAGCAGAAACCCTGGCCCCTCAGCAGCCAAAATCAGCCATGGGTAAGATATCACTGTTCGAAACTAAACCAAAGTGAACAAATATTGAACAAGATACCTGGGACCCTGGCCTTGGTTTCCACTTTGTCACCCCTTGGTCCTTTGTTGTCCCTTTCCACACCTGTAAAATGGGTGCAGTGCCACCTGCTTCATTCATTCACCCCGTAGCATATGTCAGGATCATTGAAACAGGGCCTGGCGTGCTGGAGATGATTGATAAGATATTTGTTAAATAAATGATGAATGAATGTGTGAGGGAATGGATTGAAGAATTTGAGCGCACAATTTGGAGATCTCTAAGGAAGACAGTATCCTCCTTTCATGGGTTCCCCTTGCAGCCCAGGGGCCTCCAGGTGTGTTTCTGTGTCTGTTCTCACAGTATGGATGGAAGGTGGGAAACGTGCCCACGCTCTTGTGTGTCTGTTATTCTTAAGCACTTGATCCGTATTGCGCAACTGAAAGCTTTATCCCCTAACAGGATAATCCCAGTAGTGTACGTATGTGTTTTTGTTGTTGGCTAATATTTTTGTTTTTGCTTTTTATTTTGTCAGAATGTCAGATGTCAAACTAGACTCATACCATGGCAAAGCGCATGCAAAATGAGAATACTGCATTGTATCATTCTGTTTGACCATAGTGCTCTTTAAAAGTTTACATCCCTTTCTTCTGATTCTAAGTGGGATTCTTCATGTTCCTTTACTTTAGTTTCCTCCCACATATCCCCACCCTCCACCCACAACAAAGGCTTAACATACACATAAACATACATGCACATACAAAACAAAAACTCATCCTTAGCTCATTTAGTTTGTTGTAAGTGACTGGGTTAAGCCACAAAATAAACTACTGTTAAAAAATAAATAAATAAATAGGAATAGCTTTGCATACATGTTCTTTGTGGAAAGAATAACATATTTCTACAAAGGAATAATAACATTCACTCACATCGATTTAACAACCAGCCCTCGGAAATTGTTGACATTGCTTTCTGGACAGTGACAGAAAATACCTTCGAGTTATAGCAACTCCTTCTTTACTTCTCCACACTGTTCCATAAAATCTTTATAAACACATTTATTTATAATATCTCTCTATGTAAAAGCTGTCATGGGCTCGCTTCATTTGTGTATTAAGTATATGTCATCACAAGAAATAATGTAACTTACGGAGGTGAGAAAATTTAAGTTCATCCTAAGTTTTGCAGATTTTTCAGACAACCAGTTGTTCAGGTTAACTTCATTCTGCTGTTTTCTGAAATCTGGCATATAACTGGATAAGACAATAAATGTTATCAATAATTGCTGTCTTGTGATTATTTTGATAATATAATAACTTATGACATATTTCAATTACATTATTTTGACATCGCTGAGAACACAATAATATTCCTGAAGTCTAAAGGAAATATTGTTGGCCACCACAGCAGTAATATCAGAGACACTAACAAGTTATTTTGATGACATAAAATCTAACTTCTACTTTCAAAATATCATTTAACATGTTGAACACTGACTAAATTAGTAAGTGCATGAAACAAAAGTTATTCTAGATCCAGGAGCATCTGACATTAGGGCAGACCCCTTCTGCTTCCTTGGATAGACCTTGGCCAATTTCATCCACTTTCCATCCTATACCTAACTTGACTTTTTCAAAGTAGCAATGTGACCAGGTCACCACTCCTTCACTTCTCAAAAAGATGCCTCCCCGGCTTTGGTGCTGTGTCATCCCATGGAGGGAGGTGGATGGGCAAGACAGTGACTAGAGATAGCAAGAGATTGAACTCCCAGCCCTGAACCCTGGAATATTCAGCTTTGATACATTCATGAGGGTGGAGTTCTCATGACCTAAACACCTCCCACCAGGCCCCATCTCCCAACACAGTTGCGTCGGGGATTACGTTTCCAATACATTCTTTGTGAGGTTCACAGTCAAACCACAGCACCATCTTTAATGACTTTATGTTTTTTCCTAAAATAAGACAAAATTCTCAAATGTGACCTAAAAGGTCTCTTTTACCCCTTCCCGTTTCTTCCGTTTTCTCGAGCCGGAATTTCTAACTCTCTCTGGAATCCTTTTTGTCCCCTGTGCTTTTTAACTTGTCTTACTTCTCCTCTTAGTTTGATCTCATCTCAAGTGTTTCTGTCTTGGGGAAGCTTCTCTGAACTCAACACTAGGTCAGCCTCACGGTCCCACAGTCCACCCACTGCCCCTCAACAGGATGCGCTGAAGCTGGAGCTGTGCACTGATGTGTGTGATGCCCAGAATCCTCACCAGACCGAGATCCAAGAGAATACGTGCCATATTTGTCTTTCCTCACCATTGTATCTACAGCATCTTGCATAGTGCCCAACACTGAATACATGCTTGGCAAGTATTTGCGGAATTAGTGAGTACATAGTGAGCACACCTATACCTTCTCTCCTTTCTTGTTCCTGATGATGCGACTCTGTAGAATAGTCATGACTTTTGCTTCGTCACTGGGAACTGAAACGTCCACCAGTGGGTGTCCTCATACTGGCCTTGGCTCTGCCTCTTTAGGATGGTAATGATCAAGCATCTCCTTCTTTCATATCATAGGCCTCTGTACATCTGAAGCAGTTATTATGTCTTTGAGTTCCCTTTTCCTTATTTATTCATTTTCTTCAACCATGCCTCATACTTGTCTTCATTTCCATTCCTGCCAGAGGGTTACTTGCTGTCCTATCAGCCTGTCTAATATCGTCTCTGCCTTTGTTAAAGGAGAATGGTGAAAATCTGACCTAGGAAGCTCTTTGGGTGAGTTTCCTTATCTATCACTAAATATTTATATCCAAATGGTATCAGAGGCTGGCAGAGTTGGCATCTTTGTGACAAGTGGCAATAAATTAATTTTTTTCTAATATCATACCAAAATTTGTGACAGTTGTAACCTGTCAAAATAGAAGAGAATACCCAGTAGTTTATGAATTGTCCTTCCATTTGTATTTCTACTACTCAAGCTCGATTAAAAAAATAGTTAGCTTTTTGTTTTTCCTTAAAAATGAGTAGAGACCCCTACTAACCTTAAAGCATAATGTATACATTTTAGTAATTCTATTTGGACTGTATAAACCCTGAACATCTCAGCTCCATAGGTACCTTGGGGGAAGTAAGGCATAGGAAAGAATCGGACTAGAAGCACAAGCTGGATTTTGCCACCCTCTCTCCTTTCCAGAGGCCTCTTCTGTTTGTCATCTGGGTGTGGGTGCACAGTGTGAGATGTCACTGGCTGAGGACGGATTGCTAAGGCCATTTAAACATAATAATGAACACGATGTTGATTTAGGTTCTTCCTCCAAGGGGATACTTCAAGCCCAGGGGGTAAAGGGCTCTGAAGATCATTTAATACAGATCTTTTTCAGTTCACTGATGAAAAGTGCTACGTAAGTACAGAGAATCATAATTGTTTTTATTATTGTTATTGAAACTGCAGTTGATCATCTTGATAGGCCTACTGTGG